CTGTAATTTGAATATTAGTACCCTTATATAATTTTTGATAGTATTCTAAAAAAGATTTCTTAATCAATTCTTTCTGATAAACCAATTTACCATTATAATTTATTTTATCTATATTCCTCTGTTTCTGTTTTTTTCTTAACTGATAAGCCAACCATCTCCCTGGTTTATTAGCATTACAAAATGTATTTTGTTTCATAAATAGCAAATTAGTTGCAGCTTGATCAGCCATCAGCATGTTAAATGTGTTTTTAACAATTTTAAAGCTCCTTTAACCTTTTCATCTAAGGGATTTGAAATTAAAAGTTTCTCTTTTAATTTAATCTCCTCTTCCAAGTCTTTCCGTTTCTGAGTCTGTTTCTGTCTATGCAAATTATTCATTTTTATCAAAATACCACGCATGAAAGCTTTACTTGCATCCCAGACCATTGACATTGATGTTCCCTTGTTCATATTTAAAGTAAAATATTCCTTTAAACATTCCTTTAATTTATGAACATTTTTTTCTTGTTTAAATAAATTCTCATTCACCCTCCAGGATCTCCTATCTTCCTTCTCTACAAACAGTTCCATCCAAACTGGACTATGATCGGACAATGTCCTAGGAAAAATTTTTACATTCTTCACCCTGTTGTATAAATCTGTTGTGATCAAAAAGAAATCAATTCTTGAGAAAGATTGGTGTCTATCTGAGAAAAACGTAAAATCCTTTTCTTCTTGATTACGTTCACGCCAATAGTCTCTCAATTCCCAATCTTCTTTCATATCAAAAAAGGCTTTAGGTAATTTAGCCTGTTTAAAAAAAGTAGAAGAGCCTTTTTTGTCCATTTGTATATCTAAGACACCATTCCAGTCTCCCATTAAAATCACAGATCTATAGTCCAACAAAGTTATTTTCTGATGTAGTAACCTATAAAATTGCTCCTGTTGCTGGTTTGGTGCATACAACCCCACAATAAGAATTTTCTTGCCATATAAACCAAGTTCAAGCATAACATATCTTCCGTAAGGATCTGATTCTAACAAGGTAGCAGATAAATTCTGTTTAACATAGATTACCACACCCCCTTTCTTCCCAGGGGCGGGAGATACAAAATGAGATCCCAAGCGAGGATTATTTAAATATTTTTGATCTTTAGCTGTAATATGAGTTTCTTGCAAGCAAATAATATCATTGTTATGTTGTTTCAAATAGTGGTAAATTTTTTTTCTCTTTTGAGGAATGTTTAATCCATTAACATTCCAGGACAGGAGCTTTGCCATCTCCCTTGGCCTTCAGCCTGGAGAAGATCCGCTCAAATTCTGCTGCTGATGAATATGTAGCAGAGCTTTTGGGTCTTGCTCCTCCCACCGGCACTGAAGCAATTTGCTGAGTAGATTCTTCAATTTCTTTTTCTTTTTCTTTTTTCTGTTGTTCTTTTTCTTTACGTTTATGTGCTGCACGGGTCATTCTCTGTTCTTTAACTTCTGGTTGAGACATCCATACCACCTGTCCAGCAGTCATCATCCCTGTACCTTCAGATTTCTGTTCCATCTCTTTGTCACTCAAGACTTTATGCATCATGGGCAAAGGAGAGCCTGCTCCCAGGACCGTTTTATAAAATTCCTTAGCTTTAGCAACTGTATTAAGTCTATAACGTGTCCCCGCATGGCTCAAAACAATGCCCATCGGAATCTCCCATCTAAATGGCATTTGTCTTGCTTTAAGTTCATTTACTAAAAAAGCAAAATCTTTTCTGCTTCTTAAAATTTTAGGTGGAATTTCCTTTAAAATAATAATATCTTGGGCAGCAATCTGAAATCTTTTATTATAAAAAGTTTGTAGAATCTGATTTCGCAAAGACTTCTTAGCAAAATATATCACCACATCTCTAGGCAAATTCCTCTGTTTTGCAATCCAAGAATTAACTCTATAAATTCTTTCCACATCCCCACGTAACTCTTCTTTATCAATATTCAAAATAACAGCCAAGTCATTAATCACCATTTCCATCAAATCTTGAGTTTTATCTTCTTTCAGACCCCTTATTCTCAAAGCATATTCCATCTGTCTATACTGGAACATAAGAATATCATCTTGTGAAGTCTCCACTTTTTTCTCCATATCTTGAAATTTATAATCCAAAAGTTCAACTGTTTCTTCAATTTCCTCTACTCTGGAGTCCAGCTTCACAACCACTGAGGCCATTCCAGATAGAGCTAGAAGTATATCATCCCTCAAAATAGCATTATTCTGTTCTAAAAGCTCCTTCATCTCTTTCTTCATTTCCTCCTTAGTTTCAGATTTATTCTGGTCCAAAAGTTGTTTCATTTCCTCCCTAAACTGTGAGACAGCACTTACCATTATTTCTTTAATGTCTTGTGCTGATGTGCCAGATGGGGGAGGTGAAGGTGGAGTGGATTTAGGTTGCTGCACTGAGGGTATTATTTTAAGTTGTTGTTGCACAGTAGAAGTAGCAGGAGAAGAAGTTACTTTAGAAGCTGCAGTAGCTGGTTGTCGTTTTGAAGCCATTTTAATTTATCTTCCTTTCTTCTTAAAAATACCGATAAAAATAAGTAATCCAAAAAAAAAAATTAAAAATAAGATAAAATAGAATAAAATAAGATCAATCTAAAAGTCCCCAAGAATAAAAAAGTAAAAAAGTAAAAAAAAAAGCAGTATTAAACAACAATTCAGCCGATCCGTCTTTTAAAGGAAAAAAACTTTCAAAACGCCATTTTACTTTCACTCTCACTTTTCCACCCGAAAAAAAAAGAGAAAGCTCAAAAAAATAAAAAAAAATCAGCACATACTAAATAAACTAAATAAACTAAAAAAAGATAAAATAAAGCTAAACTATAAATAAAATCCTTTAAACAGTTCTGTCCGGTTTAAGATTACTCACGGTTTCTTTAAGTACGGAGATGGTAGCGGCGTCTCGCTTTGTTTCCGAAGAAACAAAGACAGCTGAGAGGCGGAGAAGGCAATGAACTCCGAGGGAACCCTCTTTCTACCCCCCTAAAAATAAAAATCCAGGGAGAGTTAAGAGGTTCTACCTCTATTCATGCGATCTCTACCCCTTCCCTTCGCCCGGGAAGGGGATTGCGAGCCGCGGGCCAGCTGGTAAACGCTGTGCTCCGCGGATCTGACACCTTCTCAGGAGGACGGCTACAAAGTAGCCGCCATCTCCACCGCTTTAACCACTGGAAGTCCTTCTTCTTCTCCTTCTCCTTCTCCTTCTCCTTCTCCTTCTCCTTCTTCTTCATTCTGATATTAGAAGTCCTTGAGGCTGGAGTGAGACAGAGCATGGACTCCCAGCAGTCCAGCGGTAATCAGCATTGAATTGTCCATGGCATATCTTATCTTCAAAGTGCATCATGCATAAAAGAAAGAAAAATCAGCCATGAACCACATTGACACACCTTTCCAAAGAGGCAATAGAAAACCTAAGAAGGAAACAAAAAGACCAGAATGCATCCTTTCTAGCAGTTGACACCGAGATAAGCAGGAAGCACCAGGTGGAAGCTGGTCAGAGGGAGAAGTAACCTGGAACTGAGGAGGAATTTGCTCACAGTGAGAACAATTAACAGCTTTGCCTTTAGAAGTTCTGGGTGCTTCGTCAATGGAGGTTTTTGAGAAGAGACTGGACAGCCATTTGTCTGGAATGGTAGAGGGTCTCCTACTGGAGCAAGGGGCTGGACTATAAGGCCTCCAGGGTCCCTTCTTATGGATTCTGTTCTGTTCTATTCTTATTCTTCTATTCTATTTTCTACTCTACTCCACTCCACTCCACTCCACTCCACTCCACTCCACTCCACTCCACTCCATATTCTATTCTATTCTATTCTATTCCATATTCTATTCTATTCTATTCTATTCTATTCTATTCCATATTCTATTCTATTCTATTCTATTCTATTCCATATTCTATTCTATTCTATTCTATTCTATTCTATTCTATTCCATATATTCTATTCTATTCTATTCTATTCCATATTCTGTTCTATTCTATTCTATTCTATTCTATTCTATTCCATATTCTATTCTATTCTATTCTATTCTATTCTATTCTATTCTATTCTATTCTATTCTTCTATTCTATTCCTATTCTATTCTATTCCATATTCTATTCTATTCTATTCTATTCTATTCCTATTCTATTCTATTCTATTCTATTCCATATTCTGTTCTATTCTGTTCTATTCTATTCTATTCTATTCCATATTCTATTCTATTCTATTCTATTCCATATTCTATTCTATTCTATTCCATATTCTATTCTATTCTATTCTATTCTATTCTATTCTATTCTATTCCATATTCTGTTCTGTTCTATTCTATTCTATTCTATTCTATTCTATTCTATTCTATTCTATTCTATTCCATATTCTATTCTATTCTATTCTATTCTATTCTATTCCATATTCTATTCTATTCTATTCTATTCTATTCTATTCTATTCTATTCTATTCTATTCTATTCTATTCCATTCTATTGTTATTTTACTGTTCTATTTCATATTCTATTCTATTCTATTTTCTGTTCTATTCTATTCTATTTTATGTCAGACAAATTATCAAACAGAAAATAAGGCCCTAACCAGGAATCCACCAACCCCACTTGCTGGAGAGTTGGGTTCCTAGCTGAGGCTGGGTGTTTCTCACTTCCTGTTAGTATCCTGAACATCCTGGTTTTCTGGATGCTTCCCTGTTTCCTCACCTGCTAATCGCTTTCACCCCTGGCCTTCATGTTGCAAAACAGATGGAACTGGCTGAGCCCCAGCTGTGACCGAGACACCCAATGGCTTCAGTCAAGGTACACTGTGTAATTCCAATGTGCAAACATGTGTGGTCACCCAGGATCCGGGAAGGAGCAGTGGCCCCAGGCTCGCCCACTCTGCCCTGCACGAAGCCCCCTTGCAAACACGATGGGCCTCCGCTGATAAAGATCTGAGTTATCTGCCCCATCTATTTGTCCCATCCAGGGAAAAACTAACAGTTCTGATGTGTTGAGAAAGACATTTAGGCAGCTCTCCATTCCCCTTGCTTCTCCAACCGGCCTTCTTGCTTCCTGAAAACAGGACTTAAATACCCATCCCTCCAGCCCCAGCGCACATTCCCCCTGAACCAGCACTATGAAGGCTGCGCATGGCCTCCTCCTGCTTCTGGGTCTCCTCTTCCTCTTGACGGAGCTGCCCCCTTCGATGGGAGAATTAGGTAAGAGGGGCACCCCCACAGAAATCAGCTCTTATAACTTTACTCTTTCCAAGGGCTTCATCCTGCTGATCCCGGAGGCTTCATCTGCTTTTCCTGACACCTCTGCCGATTGCCCGGCCCTATGAAGCAACAGCCATCAGATACATCAGAACAGAATAACAGAGTTGGAAGGGACCTTGGAGGTCATCTAGTCCAACCCCCTGCTCAGGCAGGAAACCCTATACCATTTTGGACAAATGGCCGTCCAGTCTCTTCTTAAAAACTTCCAGTGTTGGAGCATTCACTGCTTCTGGAGGCAGGTTGTTCCACTGGCTGATTGTTCTCACTGTCAGGAAGTTTCTCCTTAGTTCCAGGTTGCTTCTCTCCTTGGTTAGTTTCCATCCGTTGCTTCTTGTCCGGCCTTCAGGCGCTTTGGAGAATAGCTTGACTCCCTCTTCTTTGGGGCAGCCCTCCAAATGCCTTAACCCTGCTATCCTGTCCCCCCTCGTCCTTCTCTAGCTGGCTGAGATGAAACGGCCTTTTCTGAACTTCCACAGAGGTTCAAGATCTGAAGCCCCTTCGAAGCAAATTGAGACAACCGAAGCCCGTGATTTACATGACCTCACAAATAAGAAGTGGGAATGTTACGGTGCAGCATTATGACATTATTTTCCATGAACTTAAACTGGGAATTATTCTGTTTTTGCATACAACAGACGCCCCAGGGAAAGTTTCAGGGAGGGCTGATTAAGGTCCCCCTCCTTTGGGAGAGCTGGGACAAGCGCCGGTTGATTGTTCTGGTCTTTTTATTTCTTTCTACAACAACGTTGGGTATGTCTAGTTTAACAAAGAGAAGGACGAGAGGCAACATGATAGCAGTGTTCCAATATCTCAGGGGCTGCCCCAAAGAAGAGGGAGTCAAGCTATTTTCCAAAGCACCTGAAGACAGGACAAGGAGCAAGGGATGGAAACTAATCAAGGAGAGGAGCAACCTGGAATTAAGGAGAAACTTCCTGACAGTGAGAACAATTAATCAACGGAATCACCTGCCTCCAGAAGTTGTGAATGCTCCAACAATGGACGTTCTTAAGAAGAGACTGGACAGCCATTTGTCTGAAATGGTATAGGGTCTCCTGCTTGGGCAGGGGGTTGGACTAGGTGACCTTCAAGGTCCCTTCCAACTTTATTATTATTATTATTATTATTATTATTATTATTATTATTATTATTGATCATCGCACAATCAGCCAGATGTTCAGACTGGATTTGGCATTTTGTCTACCTATCGAGTCCTTACCCAGGACCTGGGATAGGCAGATGTGGATATTTGATGGTATTACAGATATCATCGTTGTTGTTGTTGTTGTTGTTGTTATTATTATTATTATTATTATTATTATTATATCTTATTGCTGTTGAAATGGGAAGCAACTTGCAGAGGACTGTTAATATGCCTCAGCTTCACTCACTGCCTGTTCAAGAGGCCTTCGTTGTCCAGACGTGGATTGCTTAAAAGAATTATTACACAACGCTAAATGTTAAACATTCCTGTATTGATCCTTTCATATTTTTTTGTTTGATTAGTTCAGCGTAACATGCTCATGTGGAAGAAAACCACAAATTTATTTATTTATTTATGAGACTTATATACCGCTTTAAGTGCGAGAACTCTCTAAGCGGTGTACACCAGTAAGCAATGTATATATATATATATATATATATATTTACATTGCCCTCAACAATCTGGGTCCTCATTTTACCTACCCCAGAAGGATGGAAGGCTGAGTCAACCTTGAGCCAGTGAGATTTGAACCGCTGACCTGCTGAACACAGTCAGCTAAAGTGGCCTGCAGTAGTGCACTCTAACTGCTGCGCCACCTCGGCTCTTAAAATTGCTCTGAATGTTCTGCTTTACAGTGAAGCCTGGGCTGTGTCCCAGGGCGACAACAGGTGCCATTCGTCCTTGTACCCAGAGGTGTGAAAGTGACGAGGATTGTCGGGGAAAGAAGAAGTGTTGCCTTTTTGCTTGCAGAGTTGTGTGCAAGGATCCTGTCTAAGGTATGTTGAAGGAAAAGTCTTCATTAGGGTTCAGTCCAAGCTGGGAATAAACAGCATGGCAACTGCTTTAGGAAGAATGTTGCAGTTTATTGAAGAGGAGATCTAGACAGGAAGATGGCTCTAAGAAAAGAGGAGAGCGAACACATGTAGGGAGTGGGTTGTTATACCCCCTGGAGCCTTTTGTTAGGAGTTGTTCCTGTGGCAGGAACTTTGACCTGAGTGTGCCTTTCTGGTATTCTGATGGTGGGGGGTTAATCCTATTATGTCCCAAGGGTCATATCCTGCTTCCCTGAGGCTGATGACTCTTAGATTTTTGGTGTGTTGATTCTAGGGATCTTTCTTCCTAATCCCGGTTTCCTGACTCCAGACTTTCTGGAGATTATCACATCTGCAATTCTGCAGACTTGGTTCCTGTTTGGGACAGAGAGACTTGGGGTGGTGAATTGGTTTCTGCTTTTAAAATCCTTTAGGGAAACATATTCTGCCTTTTAAATATTAACTGGGTTAATTCTTGCTTTTCTAAAAACTTGGTTACATAATCACCACTGCAAATCATAATATTGAAATTTTCTGGGAATAATCTAATGTGAAGTCTTGTGTGGGAGCCTAGGTAAACACATTTAACTTTCCAATTGTTTCGCTGTTGATCCTTAGCCAATGAAGTATTTTAAGGAACTGATTTTCATTCTTGTGCAATTTTATGCTGCTTCTAACAGGTAACTGGGAATTTTAGAGGCCTTTGCCATGTCTTTTGTACGTTCCTGATCTAATCCACCAGTGTGTGATCAGTTAACTAAAACCTGCTTATTTTGATGCCAATTTTTAAATTTCTGTTTTTTAACTGTATGGAGTTTTGTGGGAATCATATATTTGATATTCCTATGTATTTTTCTTCTGTTTCTGAGCAGAATTCAGGGGTGTACAGATGTGCCACTGAAAAATTATATTGTTTACATGAAAAATAAAAGTTATGGTTTTGTAAAATAATAAAAAAAAATATTTCCAAAAATATTTCTTTCTCTGAGGGGGGGGGCTGACTTCCCACAAATAAGAGCACTGAGTCTTAGGCCACTCTGTAGAGTCTTGCAGATCCCAGTGTGGATTGGATCCAAGCAGGGATCCCTGAGGCTTCCGTCTTTCTTGGATCTGTGCTTGGGTGAGCCAAACCCCAAATCCGATTATGATAAAAGGAGAACGACCGGGTGTTCTCCAGCCATTAGAGCAGTGGTTCTCAACCTGTGGGTCGGGACCCCATTTGGGGTCAAACGACCATTTCACGGGGGTCGCCAAACAAGGCTGTCCGCCATTTTTCCCCCCTTTTCTTTGGCCACGCTCCTGGCACCCAGTGATGTATAAGTGGTTGGGGGTCACCACAACATGGGTAACTGTATTATGGGGTCGCGGCATTAGAAAGGTTGAGAACCACTGCATTAGAGACTAGAGATGGTCTGATTCTGGCAGAGGATCTGGTCTTCTGTGCTCCTGGCAAGGAAGGTCCCGATCCTGCACATTTATTGGATATTTGTCGAGAAAGCTTCTCAAAGGCCACTGTGGCTTTGAGGATCCCTCATGCCCGACTCTCTTTCTTTTCACAGGATCCTCTCGGTGATGGCGGGGCCTTTCTGCACGGGATCTTCAGCCTTTCCAAATTGTGGCCAGTGCATCAATTTGACCCAAAGACCCTCCTTCTGTCCTGGGCCACTCTGCAGAGACCCTCTCCCCCCCCCAACCCACGCTGGATTTCTTCCTTCTTTTCTGCAATAAAGCATTGGCTCCTCCTTCCCACTTGAACTCAGGTGTCTTCCTTTGCCCCTGGTTCCCTCCCCACACTGCCATTCCCCTGGGAAAACAAGAGAGGTGGAGATCCAAAGATGCTTTTCCAAAAGGCAACTGGACTTTCTTGGTTTATTCCCTGAAAACATTTCACTTCTCATCCAAGAAGCTTCTTCAGTTCTGACTGAATGTTGGGATTGAATGTTGGAAAATGGAACGATTTTTACACACACAGACACACACAGAGAGACACACACATGTATATAATATACATAGGCCAGAGTAGACCCTAAGAACTAAAATCAATGGTGAGCAATCTTCTATAGTTTATAGCAGTGTTTCTCAACCTTGACCATTTTAAGGCATGTGGACTTCAACTCCCAGAATTCCACAGCCAGCAATGCTGGCTGTGGAATTCTGGGAGTTGAAGTCCACATGCCTTAAAATGGTCAAGGTTGAGAAACACTGGTTTATAGAATCAACTGCAGGACCTGCGCCTGCAATTACGTTGGGGAAACAGCCAAAAGGCTCAGGACTAGGGTCCATGAAGGTGAACTGGCGATTAAAAGGCAGGAGCAGCGCTCGCAAGTGTGGGCTCACATGGCCAATTTGAACCATACATTCGATCTGGAAAACGCATAGGCCATATCTCGTGAGACCACTAAGGGTGGCCGCCTTTTCAAAGAAGACTGGCTTTCGGATGAAAAAGCCATCAACCAGCACATAGACCTCCTACCGGCATACCGGCATGGAATTGGGTAGGTCTAGTTTAACGAAGAGAAGGACGAGGGGGGACAGGATAGCAGCGTTCCAGTACCTCAGGGGCTGCCCCAAAGAAGAGGGAGTCAAGCTATTCTCCAAAGTGCCTGAAGGCAGGACAAGAAGCAACGGATGGGAACTGATCAAGGAGAGAAGCAACCTAGAACTAAGCAGAAACTTGCTGACAGGGAGAACAATTAACCAGTGGAACTACCTGCCTCCAGAAGCGGTGAATGCTCCAACACTGGAGATTTTTAAGAAGAGACTGGACAGCTATTTGTCCGAAATGGTGTAGGGTTTCCTGCATGAGCAGGGGGTTGGACTAGATGACCTCCAAGGTCCCTTCCAACTTTACTATTATTATTATTATTATTATTATTACTACTATTATTATTACTATTATTATTACCAGACCCTTAGAAAGTGGGAGAGTCAACGTTACAATCCACAGAGTAGATGGCCACCCCTCACGGTGCAAAAGCAAAATCATGATTTTGCAAATGAGGAAACTGTGATCCCTAGGGAAGACAGCAAACCAGAAAAAGGAGGGGGGGCAGGGAACATTACAACGAGATAGCAACAGGCAAGACTGGAGTGACAGGGATATGGGTGGGGCAGTAACAGCTGCTATGGGAGGGGACGAGAAACCCATGATGTGTCAAGATCAGGTGTGGAAAACGGACACACGGAAGCAGCTCGGAAGGAGAGAGAAAAAAGGGGGGGGAGAATAGTGAGCAGGAAGATATTAACATCTTTTTTTATGATATGGTGACCAAAATCGACTGCAGTGTTCCAGGTGTGGCCTCACTGGGGTTTTATAAAGCGGTACGAATACTTTGTGTGATCTTGATTCTATGCCTCTGTTTATACAACCCAGGATTGTGTTAGCTTCTTTGGCTGCTGCTGCTGCACGTTGCTGGCTCCTAGTCAAATGATCGTCCACTAGGACTCCAAGGTCCCTCTCAAATTTGCTGTTTTTGAGCCAGGTCTTGCCCAATCTGTACTTTTTATACTTTTGGTTTTTCCTGCCTAAATGTCAGACTTTTTTTCCCTCCACATTGAAACTCATTTTGTTGGGATAGGGCCCATTGTTCCAGTTTGCCAAGATCTTTTTGGATCCTGAGTTTGTCTTCTGGGGTGCTGGCTACTCCTGCTAGATGGTGTCATCTGCAAATTTGATGAGTTCCCCTTCAATTCCCTCCTCTAAATCATTTTTGAAGATATTGAAGAGTCCTGGGCCTAAGATGGAGCCTTGTGGTTCCCCACTGCTCCCTTCTCTCCATGTGGATGTGGTGCCATTGAGGTCTACTCGTTGAGTACGGTTTGCCAGCCAGCTACAGATCCATCTAGTGGTGATGTTATCTATTCCACCTTTTTCTAGTTTACCAGGGAGTAGATTGTGGTCTACTTTGTTGAATGCCTTACTGAAATCTAAATATACTATGTCCACTGCATTTTGCTGGTCTAGTAGTTTAGTCACTTTATCAAAGAATGAAATAAGATTGGTTTGGCATGATCTGTTTTTAACAAACCCGTGCTGGCTACTAGTTATAACTTTGTTTGCTTCTAGTTGTGCTGGTTGTTTATATATATATATATATATATATATATATATATATATATATATATATATATATATATATATATAAAAAATCCCTGGGTATATCCATATTTAAAACCAACAAATAAACGTGAGCACCAGGGAGTGTTTAAAAATTTTAGTAAAATTTAGTAAAATTTAATACAATACCAATAAAATCACCATAAAAATTAATAAAACGCCTAGCTTTCGTCAGCAACTGCTGACATCATCAGGGCTCAAAATGCCGGTCAGTGGGAGAGTCCTCTTTATAGATTGGCCAGAGTCTGCACTCGGCTCCTAGATCTTGTCATTGGGCCTGATGCAATAGGCTGTTTCTCGGTTGCCGGTTTCTTATTGGCAATGATTGCTTTCTTGCATTTTTTGCTTGTGTAGCTGTCATTGGGTGTTTTCTCTTTGTCAAATTCGGGGTTTGATGGAACATCCCCCCTCTCCTTTTTCACTTTATTGCTACCCCTACTTTGTTTAGTTGCGCCCCTCCCTCCTCCCCTTTCCCCACTCCATTCTGATTGCCCCGTTGCAACGCACTGTCTCTTGTTTTCTTTGTATTTTCCCCAGTCATGGTCTCCGCAGATGTTGTTCGAGTTAATTACTGCCACACCCCTTGTTTCCTCCTTGCTCCTTGCTTGCACGGTGTGGCTCTTCCGTGCTGTCTGTTGATACGGATAGGCATTACAAGGTCTTATTCCCCAAACATGCTAATGACGTTGTTTCTCCCCTTTTAGAGTACGATCTGGTAGTTGTTGCCCCCAGGCGTCTCCTTTCTTTATCTCCGATCTTGGTGCTGTTCCATCCTAGTTTTAATCAACTCGCCCTGGGCGTTCTCTATACGGTAATCAGGAGTGTCAGCCTTCATTGCTCTTTCCCCTCCACTCTCGGTGTTCCTCCTATGTGCATCTTCATCGGGTTCACTCCACACACCCCGTTGGCACATTTGAGTTGGTGCTGCTGAATGGAGCGGTCAAGTTGTTACAGGTGGTAGAGTTGGAGAAGCTACCCTTTCCTCTCCCAAATGTGGCAGGCAATTCAACGCTCCCGCCAAGGGTGTTTTAGATGTGGATCTCTTACCAGGCGACGCTCTCCCCTCCGGGTATCCTGGGGGGTGCGTGCAATCCCCCAGTCTACACGTTAGTGCTCCTGTGTCTCCTGACACTCCTTCAGATGCTCGGGGATGCCTAACCATTCTGGGGGTGGGGGGAAGTCCCGATCATTGTTTGCGTTCTGTCTGAGTACTCCCGGGCTGCGAATGGTGAAAGGGGGAATTCTTTTCCACAATCCTCTCCATTGGTATACTCCGTACTTCTTTAGGATATCTCCAATGGGGTGGGGAATTGTCCATGCTCCAAGCTCTCAGCGTTAAGTGGGCTGGGCAAAGATCGATATGCCAATTAATTTTTATATATAAAAAACAAAGTCCTATTGTTTTTTGAAAAGCTCCTTTGGGACAACCATGACCTGGATGATGGAGCATCTCCATGAACCAGAGAGGCTGAGATGCAGAGGGAGAGAGAACAAGCAAAGATCCCTGATGGGCCAATCTTAGAGAAAGGAGGCCCAGACTGTGTGAACAGGTAAAGGGAATTACAGAATTACAGAGCTGGAAGGGACCTTGCAGGTCATCTAGTCCAGCCCTCTGCTCAAGCAGGAGACCCCTACACCATTCCAGACAAATGGTTGTACAATCTCTTCTTGAAAACCTCCAGAGATGAGGTTTTCCAGCATCTACAACTTCTGGAGGCAGGTTGTTCCACTGGTTAATTGTTCTCCCTGTCAGGAAGTTTCTCCTTAATTCCAGGTTGCTTCTCTCCTTGATCAGTTTCCATCTGTTATTCCCCTTGTCCTGCCTTCGGGTGCTTTGGAGAATAGCTTGACTCCCTCTTCTTTGGGGCAGCCCCTGAGATACTGGAAGGCTGCTATCATGTCCTCCCTCATCCTTCTCTTCATTCAGCTAGACATCCCCAATTCCAGCAACCGTTCCTTATGTGTTTTAGCCTCCAGTCCCCTAATCGTCTTTGTTGCTCTTCTCTGCATTCTTTCTAGAGCAGTGGTTCTCAACCTGTGGGTTGGGACCCCATTTGGGGTCGAACGACCATTTCACGGGGGTCGCCAAACAAGGCTGTCCGCCATTTTTTCCCCCTTTTCTTTGGCCACGCCCCTGGCACCCGGTGATGTATAAGTGGTTGGGGGTCACCACAACATGGGGAACTGTATTATGGGGTCGCGGCATTAGAAAGGTTGAGAACCACTGTTCTAGAGTCTCAGCATCTTTCAAGCAGTTCAAGCAATTGGATAATTGGATTAAAGTTTCCTGGGTGGATGGTTTTGCAGCCTCTGCTTGAACCCCCCACCCCCCAGTAAAAGGAAGCCCATTGTATTGGCTTCGTTGTCCAACTCTTCTAGCAATGAGGATTTCCCCCCCCCCTCAGTCCATTGATTCTGCTTCCTGTAACTCACACCCCCTTTCACTCTCTGGAATGAGAGAGAACAGGTCTTCATAGATTTTAAGTGTTTGAGGAAGCTGCAATTCCTGCAGCTGTTCTTCGTATCTTTTTTTGTCCAGTCCCCTGATCACATGAGGTATTAATACCACTTTACAAGGCCTTGGTAAGGATACACTTGGAATACTGCATCCAGTTTTGGTCACCACGATGTA